AGAACTTCATAAAAAACCATTTCTCTGAATGAATAAAAGTGAAAGCTCAAACCTTGCGATTCTCGTGGTCGATCATGACGTTATGTGGCTTGACATCGCGGTGCATAATGCCCATGCTGTGACTGTAGTCAAGAGCTTTTAGCAGCTCATACAAGTAGAACCGAATATCAAAATCAGTTAAAGTCTGGTACAACTGCTTGAAATCCGTATTGTTGACATGCTCAAATATGAGCGATGGAGTGCGAGACTGCAAGCGTGGACAAGATTGCGATAATTAGGACAAAGGTGATAAGACCTTAAGTGGAACATTAAAGTATTTACCAAGTTATCCTTGACTACGGCTTGAAGTGTTATTATATTAGGACCATTTCGAAGATTTTCTAGGATTTTAATTTCGCGCTTAATTTTCTTTTTCTTTACGGGCTGTAGGAATGAACGGAGTTAGATTAGCGGTGGTGATGACGATACACCAAAGAATAATAGTGGAAATTGACACGTACTTTTAAGATTTTANAATTTTAATTTCGCGCTTAATTTTCTTTTTCTTTACGGGCTGTAGAAATGAACGGAGTTAGATTAGCGGTGGTGATGACGATACACCAAAGAATAATAGTGGAAATTGACACGTACTTTTAAGATTTTAACGACACACTTTTCATTGGAGGAAACGTTGACGGCCTCAAAGACTTCACTGTATTTACCCCGTCCCAGCTTCTTCACCAGCTGGTAGTTGTCCTGGTTGGACCACTCGACGGTGTGTATCTCGTAGTCCCAGTACTCGCGAGGCCGGTTGATGTTGACGTCTGGGTAGACTCGGGAGCGCGATGGAAGGGGCATCCTCGAGTGTGGTGAGGAAAAGGAGTTGAAGCGTATGGTCAGTAGGTGAGGCGGCACTGGGGAGCGGCGCAGAGGGGGGCAGAGAAGCGGGCCCGGGTGGCTCGGGTGGCGCAAGGAGGCTCGGGTGGAAGTGGAGTAAGCGTGCCGCTGCCTCTGCCAGAATCCACTAGGTGCTCTGCGCTCGCACAAACAATGGAGGATGCGAGCAGCGCCGAGGCTCATGCGATGTTGATTAGCTGCCGCTCAGCAGCCTCTCACTCGCCGCTGGGGTCGTCTGGGTTAGCCGGGGAAGGGTAGAGCAGAGCGGGGCAGAACTGTCTCCGGTCACCGGTCAGCGAGGTTGACGGCCAGGTCGGTGGCGGTGGTGGCGGTGGTGGTGGTGGTGGTGGTGCTGCTCGCCGATGCTCGCGGCTAGTCTTCTGCTCTGGTGCTGCTGCTGCTGTTCAGAGAGCGAGAAGTGGCCAGCAAAAGAGGAGAAGATTGCTCGCAAAGATGGAAGAAAACAGCGCTCGCAGCTACGACACCTACTCTACGGACGGGCGGCGGGGCAGTCGCCCATGCGCGACGGCGGCGGCATCGGGTTTTCTGTGTGTGTGTGCCGGCACTTGCCCGCAGACATCGCGCCCGATCAGGGAGCCAGGCGCCCAGTATCTCACTCCCTCTCTCCCACTCACTCTCACTCGTGGTTTCACCTGTCACCCGATGACCCCGCTCAATTGGACATTCCCCTCCTCTGAACGCTAGGGCAGAAAGCGGTACTTACTTTGCCTGGCGATTCACCGTCGCCCAGAGCTTGACCATAAGTCGCCTGATTAGCGGCCATTCGGTGAACATTACTCGCAGACTGGTGCTGTCGTGTGACGGTGGGCGATGCTAGCAGTGGGCTAGTGGTGCAAAGACAATGACAAAGTCACAGACTGGCAAAGAAAGCACTGTCGCGCAAATAAAATCTGACTCTGTTCTTTGCTCGACGGCGCCAACGCCGCCAGCGGCGACGGCAAAGTCTGTCTCCCCTTTTCCCCTCGAATTCGGCGTAAGCGATCTATTATTGCGATAGTGAGTGTTAGTGACATCAAAGTGTGCACTTGTGTTTGTCGGCGAAGGCACGCACCGAGATCGCTGCGAGACAAGCCGCCAAGTTCCTCATACTCCAACTCTTCAACTCTTCTCTTCAAACCAAAACACTGAAAATTGTGCCGATCCGCCGACTGAAGCTCACAGCTGCTTCTTCTGCTGCTGTTTTACGCGCATCCGGCGTGTAACCTGTAGGGCGAGCAACTCCTCACAGTGATCCCTTACCTTTGCTCGACAATGACTGTGGTTGACACGCCCGCAGGTATTCTTTTGTAGCATTGAGTGCATTGTCCGACCACTACCCCCTCTCCCCGAGTGTGGTGGTGCGTTGGCGGCGCAGAGCATCATTGCGTCGGCGAAGAGAGGCTCTCGGCGAACTGCTTTTCCGGTGCGCAGCAGACTCCAAGACCTACCTTGACTGCACTCCGCTGAGGGCAGCACTAGTCAAACTGTAGAGGTACATCTTTAGAATTTTTAGAGGCGGCCAAAAGAACTTTTGCTTTTTTGCAGGCAGTATCTACTTTACGAAAGGCCCGTACCACCAGCCAGCACAAAACAACGGCCAGCTCCATTTTTCTGTGGACAAATATTTTCACGATTCCATTTAACCGGTAAATTGTTACCATCAACGCCAGCGATTCCAGTGATCAACAATCCATTTTTTCCCGTTACTTTTTCTCAGCCTTGCCAGCACCGTTTCATCTTCTGTCACCAATGCTCGCCAGCAGCCTTCCTTCGAACCATCATTTTGAGGTGAAAAAAGAAGAGTCCGATGATGAGGAGACCTACGTTCCAGAGCGGAAGAAGCCGAAAAAGTCTAAAAAAGACAAAAGTGAGAAAAAGAACAAGAAGCACAAACGTGAATACAGTGATGAATCTGCTTCTGAGGACGAGTACAAGCACGAGAAGAGTAAGAGCAAAAAGCTAAAGAAAAGCTACTCAACAGACGAGGACGAGGAGAGTGACTATGAGGACGAATACGTGAAGAAGAAGAAGAAGTCAAAGACCAAAAAGGAAAAGAAAGACAAGGAGAAGGACGGCAAGAAGAAGAACAAGGACAAGGAAAAAGACAGTAAGAGCAAAAAGAAAAACAAGGATGCTGTAAAAGAATGCAAGGAGAATGGCAGCCCAAAGAAAAAGAAAGTCAAAGAAGAGGAGGAAGAGCACATTTGGAAATGGTGGGAGGACATGGCGAGACCTGACGGCATGGACAAGTGGAAAACTCTGGAGCACAACGGACCCGTTTTTCCGCCCGACTATGAACCTCTACCCAGCAACGTGCGATTTTACTACAACGGCAAGGTGGTGCATCTTTCACCTTTGGCTGAAGAGGTAGCTGGCTTTTACGGGCGAATGCTTGATCACGAGTACACCTCAAAAGATGTGTTCAATAAGAACTTTTTTAAAGACTGGCGAAAGACAATGACTGAAGACGAGAAGGAGCTGATCACTGATTTGAAGCTGTGCAACTTCAAAGAGATCGATATTTATTACAAGGAGCAGTCGGAAAAGCGGAAAGCAATGACGAAGGAAGAGAAGCTGGAGCTGAAGCAGAAAAACGAGGAAATAACCCTAAAGTACGGCTTCTGTCTGCTTGACGGTCACAAACAAAAGATCGGCAACTTCCGCATTGAGCCGCCGGGTTTGTTTCGAGGCCGAGGTGAGCATCCTAAGATGGGAAAGCTTAAGAAGCGCGTTCAGCCTGAGGATATCATTATAAATATCGGCGAAAAGGCGAAAATACCCTCCCCACCAGCGGGGCACAAGTGGAAGGAGGTGAAACACGACAAAACAGTCTCCTGGCTGGCCTCATGGACCGAGAACATCATGGGCAATGTCAAGTACATCATGCTGAACCCCTCCTCAAAGCTTAAGAGCATCAAAGACTTTGAAAAGTACGAGAAGGCTCGCAAGCTTAAGAATGAAGTCGGCGCAATTCGGTCCCAGTATCGTGCCGACTTTAAATCTCGCGAAATGGTGGTACGCCAACGAGCTGTTGCTCTCTACTTTATTGACAAACTTGCACTTCGAGCCGGTAACGAGAAGGAAGAGGGCGAAACAGCCGACACTGTCGGCTGCTGTTCACTGCGCGTGGAGCACATTCAACTGCACGAGGAGAAGGACGGCAAGCAGTACGTCGTCGACTTTGACTTTCTCGGCAAGGATTCCATTCGATATTCCAACTCGGTGGCAGTGGAGAAGCGTGTGTTCAAAAACCTGAAGCACTTTATCCAGGGCAAATCACCCAGTGATGACCTCTTTGACCGCTTGAATACGTCGAGCTTGAATAAGCATCTAGCCTCGCTGATGGAGGATCTCACTGCAAAGGTGTTCCGTACTTACAACGCTTCCCAAACGCTACAAAATCAACTGAATGAACTGACAAAGGAAGGCATGACCGAGCCGGAGCTCCTACTCGCCTACAATCGCGCCAACCGATCAGTTGCCGTGCTTTGCAACCATCAACGTGCAGTTCCTAAAACTTTCGACAAGCAGATGGAGAACTTGCAGGTCAAAATCAAGGAGAAGAAAGCGCAAATCAAGGAGACAAAGAAACTGTACAAGGAAGCTAAAGGTGATGCAAAGGATAAGCTGAAGAAGAAGCTTAAAACGCTTGAGGATGGCATGAAAAAACTTGAAGTACAAAGAGTCGACAAGGAGGAGAACAAGCAAATTGCTCTCGGAACTTCAAAGCTCAACTATTTGGATCCTCGAATCAGCGTTGCCTGGTAAGTTGTGATTAGAAAGTTGTTTGCAATTTTGTTGATTTTAATCCGATACGTTTGTGTAGGTGTAAAAAGTGGAACGTAAAAATCGAAAAGATTTACAACAAAACACAACGTGATAAGTTTCGCTGGGCGATTGAGATGGCCGGACCTGATTATCAGTTTTAGACACACCGCTGCTCCAGAGCCCTCTTAGGTACACTAACTCCTTCCACTCGCGTCACACAGTTGCACGGATCTGGACAAGTGGACGTGTGTTTACTTAATAAATTATACACCCTTTAGCGCATCACCAGTTCAAACTTGATCCAGTTGCAACTTGCATGTTTTCTCTATATTCTCTATGTCTGTTTTGCCTCATCACTCCTCTCCCTCTCTACTCAGCTTGTTTCGTACGCACTCGTGACACTGACGGGGACCACTTGAACGAGTTGTAAAGTATATACCCCCAACTAACTAATTGCCTCACTCCTGGTGGCACTCCTGACGCATCAAACACGCACGAAGCACACGCCCAGCCCCTTCCTTCCCAAGAGCACCCACAGGCAACCACCACCACCAGCACACCACCACCGACTCTGAACACGCCTTCCTCTCATGTTATAAATATTGCCCATTTTTCCTTTAATTATTACCATATTTGATAATATGTAATAATAATCCTCATCTCAATCCTCGTAAGCAGACACACCCACACAAACACTGACAGTCGCTCTACTTCCTCCCTCCTCTTCCTTCTCTTTTTCTCTTCCTTTCCAATGTAACTTTTACTTCTTTTTGGAAACCTCTTTAGACTCTTAATCAATTATTATTTTTCATACTCAATTGATAATTGTGCATGCTAATTGTTCATCCCACACAATTAGGTTTTTACACTTACTTCAAACTCTTATTCGCCTTGTGTATTTGTATTGAAATCTTATTTTATAATTAAAAACCAAATGATGATTGTCTAGGCGCTACTACCGCTACCATTACCGCCACTGACAGTACTGCTGTTTCCGCCGGTTTCGCTGGGGAACTTTACAAAGTAGCCCCAGGAGGCAAATGGCTTCTCGTTGATCTTCTTCGTCGGACCTCGGTACACCTTCACTAGAAGACTGCCAAAGTCGGGCCCTAGTTTGGGCTCTGGTCGGTGCTCTTCGTGCTCCACCTGATGCTCTTCCTTTGCAGTTTTTGGTCGAGGTTTTGGTCGTGGTGGGCGCGGTGTCTGCTGAGCGGAGTGCACCTCATCGTGCACTGCCAACTGCGGCAGCTTACTGCGTCGTGGCACTTTCGGTCGATCCTCGTCGTCGTCCTCCTCCGGCTCATCGTCCAGGTCCACGTCAGCGTCGTCCGGCTCCGGCTTGCCGTAGTCCTTCTCCACCTTCTCGCTGTCCCTCTCAAAGCCGTCATCATCGTCAGGGTCGGTCGCCTTTATGTTGTCGGGTTTCTCCACCTGCGGAATGGGCTCGTCGTAGTCGTCGACGATGACCACCGACGATGACTCGCTGTCGTAGTCGTGTCCACTAACAACAACAACAGCGGTGGAACAGTACAGCAAAAGCAGGGCGATCTGTGCACGTGAATGTGAATGTGAATGTGGGAAGAAAAAAGAAGAAGGAGGAAGTAAAGGGTGAGAATGAATGAATATGATGTCTGAATAAGTGGCTGGCATACAGCAGACCATACAGGCCGTAGTGCAGAGAGTGTGACCGAGTGGCGAGGATGATGATGACGGTGATGGTGACTGGAAGACATGCTGGGGAAAAGAGGTGATCACTGGGGGGAGGACGGCGATGGTAGAGATGCTCAGCTGGGACACGGACACAGTGGCCAGCATGGTTGGTGGCCGAGTCAGCTGAGATGCACTACGCTGGTCAAATCGAGACACTGCACAGTGGTGGGCGATTTGAGGAAGGGAAATCAGGAGAATAGAACAACAGCACGTAAAGAGACACAATGCAGGAAGACAGACTGGCGCGGTAGAGCACCGACAACACTGGTGGTGATCAGTAGTGATCAGATCCCCGTGACAGATCGCGAGGAGATACGCGCTGATCGAGGAAGAGGACTATATTTAGTTGTAGTGATCAGAGTGTGCATTCTCACTTTTGGTCGATCCACTTGGTGGATCACTCTCACAGGTAGAGAAAGACACTGATCACAGAGACACACAGGCACCACTTCACCTGACTGACTGACTTTAATTTAGGAACGCGGTCGAGCGATTCAAATCAGTGGTGGTCGAGCCACTCGTAGAAAGCATGCTATTTATTTCACTGGTAAACACAAGAGACACACTGATCTCCCGGTTGCCAGATGCTCCTGTCACTGCTGCTGCTGCTGCTGCTGCTCTTTCTGCTTCTGCTTCTTCACGTCACCGGTGTACCTGGCCCGCTCAGCTGCCTTCTTCGTCTTCAAATTTCCCCTTCCTGGGTCCTTTCTACCTTGTGATCTTTCCCAAATGTTCAAGTATGGCCTTCTCCTGCTCACCTACAAATCGCCACACCTCACTTCGGTACTGTCTCATGTTGGGTCATACCTGAAGACGGCCAACTCACAGGTTTCCAAGACGCTGTACATCTCGCTGGAGTCTGGCCAGCGCTTTCAGGCAAGTCATCCGGAGATCAGTGTGCCGTCCACTAGCGAACTTCTCCATCTCGTTCCGAGAATCTACACGGAGGCACATAAGTACGCTCCCCGTCTTGATGTCCGCGTCTTGCACCACGCCAATTATCATCACAGTGCAGCAGCAGCAAGTACTGTTAAACGTCAATTAAAGCGCAAACTGCAATACTCACCTGAAATAATTTTCACTAATGAGCACATAAACGAAGATAATATCAGCACTTTTGTGCATAATCAATTTGATAATTTGCCTCAAAAGATTTCAGTTGTTCGGCTAAGTTCTGACAAGCCAGCTGAAGACGTCAGCAGTTTATCCAGTCCGACTAGTGCGCAAATCTACGACAACATCTGCTTGGGAGGCACTTTTGACAATCTTCACAATGGCCACAAAATTATGCTATCCACTTCTCAACTCAAATGCCAAAAAGCACTGACAATCGGAGTGACGGACCGAAACATGGTTCGTCACAAGACTCTCTGGGAGCTTATTGAAAGTCCCGAGGATCGAATCAGCAAGTTGCACGCCTATCTATCTGACATTGATCCGTACATAGAGTACAAGATCACTCCAATTCAGGATCCATTTGGTCCAGCAATCGTGGATGGGGAGCTTCAGGCAATAGTCGTCAGTGAAGAAACAATTCGTGGAGGACACAAAATCAATGAAATTCGCGCTTCTAAATCCATGTCCCAGCTTGATGTGGATGTGATTCATATGCTGAATGACGGTCATCGAGAGCACGACATTGAAGAGGAAAAGGTTTCTTCATCATCGCTGCGAATTCGCAAACTAGGCACCTTGATCAAAGAACCTGAGCCTCGTCCTAATCTGCCAACGAAACCGTACATTATCGGTCTCACCGGAATGATCGCCAGTGGCAAATCGTCAATCTCCGAGAAGCTTCGAAAGCTGGGCGCCGGTGTTGTCAATGTAGACCTGTTAGCACATCAAACATATAGAAGCCCAACTATGCCTGCATTTAAGGAAATTGTTGCCAACTTTGGAGCGGAAGTTTTGGATCCCAATGGAAACATTGATCGCCGCAAGTTAGGCGCTATGGTGTTTGAGGACGAGGCCAAACTGACGCAGCTCAACAGCATCATCTGGCCAAAAGTGGCGCAACTAGTGGAGGAGGAGGTCAAAGTGCTCAGTCAGAAGTACAGTGTCATTGTCTTGGAGATAGCCCTGCTGATAGAGGCCAACTGGCTTCACAAGGTACACCAAGTCTGGCTGAGCATCCTCGATGAGAAGGAGGCAATTGAAAGGCTGAAAAATCGAAATAACCTACGTGAAGAGGAGGCTCGCAAAAGGGTGGAAGCATTCGTGGACATTCATGAAAAAGTTCAACACGCCAATGTCATCTTCTGTACGCTGTGGGATGAGCGAATCACCTGGGACCAAGTGAAGCGTGCCTGGCAGATGCTGGAGGACAGATTTGTCAAGAAATCATAAGCTAAACACACACACTGTTGATTGTTAAACTGTTGATTGTTTACTACACATATTTTTATATTCAAGTTTTTTCTCTTATAAACTTTTATATGCTATATAGCACCAGATATTAGCTGATTTGCGTAATATTAAGAGTTGATATTTTATCGCGAATCATCTCCATGAGTGATAGGTGGTAATTGGCTGCTCAACGTTGCCAAATGCCAAAGGTGCTGCTGCTGCTCTCTATTCTCTCAAATACGAGCACTGCAACGTTCAACAAACGCACATTTCGACTCAAGCACTGAAAGAGGAGAGCGCCAGTCGTTGTTGAAGTGTTCTAAAAACTGTTTTATGAGCAACTTTTTATTTTCTACAACAAAACTGCTTTCCATTTTGGCATCACCACTTTCACATCATTCTTTTTGTTTTGTTTTAATTTACAAATCANCGTTGCCAAATGCCAAAGGTGCTGCTGCTGCTCTCTATTCTCTCAAATACGAGCACTGCAACGTTCAACAAACGCACATTTCGACTCAAGCACTGAAAGAGGAGAGCGCCAGTCGTTGTTGAAGTGTTCTAAAAACTGTTTTATGAGCAACTTTTTATTTTCTACAACAAAACTGCTTTCCATTTTGGCATCACCACTTTCACATCATTCTTTTTGTTTTGTTTTAATTTACAAATCAGTGTTTACCATCTCCTCTTGACCGGCACACTCATGAGTCAAGTGGTCAAAGTTATTCACAAGTCGTCCGACCGAAGCTCCAGCGGTCATCAGCATGCTAAGATCACTTCTATTCCAATACAGAAGATGAGTTCTCTTTCCTCGCGTGATCGCATTGTTTACCGACTTGTGCTCACCGGTGGTAAGTACTGCAAGAAATAGTGATGCAATATTTACACGTGCTCTAAAACATCCTCATTCTTCCTTCAAAGGCCCTTGCAGCGGCAAGACTACCGGCCAAGCTCGGATTTCCACCTTTTTCGAGAATCTCGGATTCAAGGTGAGTGAAGTGCCTGACATTTCTAGTTTTCATTGTTCTTGTTGAAGGTGTACCGAGTTCCTGAGGCGGCGACCACGCTCTTCAGCGGCGGTGTTCGCTTCTCCGAGCTGAGCCCTGCCGAGAGGGACAAGTTCCAGGAGAACCTCGTCAAGGTGATGATCTCCATGGAAAGAGCCTTCTTCACACTGGCCAGTTCCTGCAAGCAGAACTGCATCGTCATCTGCGACCGAGGCATCATGGACGCCAGCGCCTACATGAGCCAGGAGAGCTGGGCGGCGGTGCTGAAAAACAACGGCTGGAACCCCGTCGAGCTGCGAGACAATCGCTACAATCAGGTAGTGCACCTGGTCACCGCGGCCAGCGGGGCGGAGGCCTACTACAACTGCGAGGACAATCCCTGCCGAACGGAGGGGCTGGAGCAGGCACGGGAGCTAGATCGACGCACCGCCGAAGCTTGGCTCGGCCACCCCTACATCGACGTCATCGACAATAGCACGGACTTTGACACGAAGATGCGTCGGATGATCTCCACGGTGTGTCGACGCATCGGCATCAACCCCGGAGACCGTCTGCAGGCTGACGCTCGCAAGACCAAGTTCCTCGTGAAGGGACCAGTGCCTCCGAGCACCGCCTTCCCGCCGTACCAGGACTTTGACATGGCCGTCGACTTCCTCGTCACCTCCAATCCAAAGGTTCAGTCGCGTCTACGAAAGAGAGGTCAGCATAACCGCTGGAGCTTTCAGCATCTGATCCGGCGCTCTGACGCCGGCTCCCAGGAAGTGGAACTGCGCCGGCAGATTCGCAGCAGGGACTACATGGTAAGCAAGTTTTTTGCAAGAGCTTTTCACTAGAGCTAATTTCCTGATTTGCACAGACAATGCTGGCCCAGCGCAGCGACAGTCACTACACCATCGTCAAGGTGCGTCGATGCTTCCTCTGGCAGCAGGTCTACTTTCAGCTGGACATCTACCAGGAGCCCAGCACCAGTCGCTGTTCGGGTCTGCTCATCCTCGAGACGTACACTACCCTGTCGGCGGAGGAGATCACCCGCAAACTGCCGCCCTTTCTCAGCATCATCCGCGAGGTGACCAACGACAGCGACTACTGTACGCACAGTCTCGCCTTGAAGAGCGCCGATAATGGTGAACTGTAAAACCATAGCACGTTTTTACTGTATAAAGAAATGTAAATCTCAACGTGCAACATGAATCGAGAGAAGGTTAAAATCAAATCAAAGTGCTCCTACTTCTATCGACGACCACGCTTTGAGGGGGCACCTTTGCCCTTTCCCGAAGTGCCATTTCGCTTTTGAGCGGCGGTTTTGTTGTTGTTAGCGGCACTTGCTGGCGGCGCAGTTGAGGGCTTCACCTTGAAGAAGGCGTCAATTCGAGTTTGGGAGCTCTTAGCCTTTGAGAGCTTGGCTCGTTTGATGGCTGCGCGCACACGGTCCTCGCTGAAGCCATTCTCACCGCAGAGGAACTGCACTAAGCCATCCTCATCAATGTCCTTCATCTTCAGATCGGCATCAGTGTACTGGTTTCGGTGCACCAGCGGCTCTTTGAACAGCTGTCGGGCTCCTTTGAATGGCCAATTCTCAGGCACGGAGATGGCCTTCTTCTTTAGCTTCTTTGCCTTCTTTGAAGAGCTCTCCTCCTCCTCCTCCTCTTCCTCTTCTTCCTCATTGTCCTCCGCCTTATATTCTTCATCCTCTTCTTTTTCAACGTCACTTTCGCCTTTGATCCCGTTCTCCTCTTTGTTCTCCTCTTGCTTAATCTCAGAATCGACTTCACTGTTCTCCTTAGATTGATCACCATTTTCCTGATCTTCCTTAACTTCGCCCTCAGCCGATTCTTCCTCTTTAACTTCCTCCTTTTTCCCTCGAACATCGTACTCGATCTCCACTTCGACGAATTCAGTGATGCCAAACTTTTCCTTCAAAATGGTCTCAATGTTGTCAAATTTGCGAATTAAATCAAGGCCCTTTTTGCCGCCAATTCCTCTGATGTTGGAGCAATAGTCACAGCCCATCAGGATACTCAAATCAATGAACTGCTCTTGAGTAAGGCCAAGGCCGTTGAGGATCTTTTCAACCAGCAGCTCTTTGACCTTTTCATTGTTAGCCGAAGTGAGGTTTCGAACCAAGCGGGGGCACCCAAAGGTGAGGGCGTCCATGTCCTCGGTGGCCGCAGCATAGACGAGCCCCTCCTTGCACAGCTGAGCGCACTGAGCTTCAGCCTCCGAAGGTGCTTGGACAACAGGCAGTCCAAGGAGTTCGAGCAGCTTCTTGCAGTCCTCGGTCATCTTACGCGTTACTCGAACTAGACGCTTGTTGAATCGTTGAATGTTTTCAAT